CCTGGGGGGGGCGGGATTATTTGGTTTTTCCTTGGGTAGGATGGAGATTTTCCCTCCCAAGCTCCGTCCATGGTTGCATCTTTTACACACAGACGTTGGCCAGGTTGCCATCCCCTCCCTGTGGCGCTGAGAGGCCGCCCTGAGCCACAGAGCTACGGCCTCTAGGAGCGGTTCGTCCCTCCAGGGCGGCACGAGGCGCACGGCAGACGGAGGATGGAGGGGGGCGGACCACGCCGGGGGCCCTGCTTGGGGCTGACTGCTCTCTGCCTCTCACGGCGCCGTCTCTGGTCGCACCTAATCTCCCCCCTCTCCCAGGCCGACGGAGCGGAAGAGGGGGAGATCGATCGCTGAGAGGCCGACACTACTGTAACCACACAGACCTTAATCCACGGCCCGACGAGACGGACGGCTCGCCCACTTGTTCGTTTGTTCAACTACTCGGATCGTTTTCCTCGTGCACAGGCATTCTGACGTTGTTCATTCAGCTGCTGTATGCATTGCGATACGTACTTCATTCTCAACTTGCACCAATCTTATCAACCACCGGCCAAGAAAATACCCGGTGGGTCGCCCCCAAAGATGATAGATCTCATCGCTCAGACGCGGCGCAGTGTTTCATGGAAAGATCCGTCCATGACTCGTCCGTGCTCCGTCTGAAAGACAAACAGCAGGAAACCATCACCAGCTGAAAAGGACACTCCGAAAAGGTGGGCTCAAACCCCTCCTCCACCATCGACGGGTTGCTGCTGGATCTGGCAGCGGCTTTGACAGAGCAAAAGAGGGCTGCCTTGGATGATGCATCTCTTGCCATGCCATGTCATGGCTCAAATCGGCTGCGAGATCTCTCTCGAGTACGTCCCCTGCCCCGCATCTCATCGACGATCATGGGTCATCGCCAACCAACCAACCCGCATTCAAGATCCCCTCTCCGAAAAGAGACGGCAAGACACACAAGAATGACGAGTCGCGTTGAGAAAGGACCTGCCACCGCATGTGACGAGGGAGTGCGTTTGCAGACCTCCCCCCAACCCACACGTGCCCTCGACGCAAGCAAGCAAAACACACGGCACAAAAAGAAACAAGAGAAAAATTCTGAGTGTCTCTGATGCACACCATAGTCCACCCAGAGACATGGATGCGCCATCTCCAGCCCTTTACACCATCACAAACGAGACGGACAAATAGGTCGAATCGCGATTCAAACACCCCAAGTCATGGCTGATTGCCCCCGGTCCATGGACGAAGCGTCTCTAGAGGAAAAAATCAGAGGCCAATAAAAAGACAAAGAAGCCTTCTCGTCTCTTCTCTCATCCTCATCAACGGCGGCCAACGGGGGGAACTAATGCTGCTACTAAATTCTGCTACAGTCACTACTGCTCAGCTCCTTTCTCTCTATCACCTCTCACATTCCCAGGAGATGGATGCTTGTGGGATTGAGCAAGGAGGGGCGTATGTCTTTTGCTCAAACGAAAGGACCAGAAATCGAGGGATCAGGCATGTTGCGATGGTGGCTTCCACGCACTCTCCTGTGATGTGATGCGATGCGATGACCCGATCCAGGTTTTATTCCCATCAGCTCGACATCGACAGCGTGTCAGCCAATTGACCGAGACAGGATTGAAATCCTGAAAAGCCTCATTTTCTGCTTTCCCATGTCAGAGGGACGTTTACGCGGTCTTGGCAGGGCGAATGTGCGGCACGGTTTGAATGGACCATGACCATGGGGCGATAAAAGCCCAACTCTCACGATAGGACCGCAGCTCTTGACCCAACTCCATGGTAACGATCCCAGGCAAGAGGCGACACAGCCTCAGGGGATGATGTGCAGCGCTCTCTTGTCTCTGTGAGCGCTCATCTTTTCCCCGTCACAGCGGAAGGCGGATGATATCCCATCCGGCCCTGTCCCAAAGGGTCCAGCCGCTCACCGAAAAGGTGTAGGTACCCCTGGCTCTTTTGCAAGATGCGCATCCTCGTCTTTGTGAGATGCGACGAAAGAGAGAAAGCCGGGCCGCTCTTGGGGACATGGGAGGGAGTGCCCGAAAAGCGTCGGTCTACGTCCATCCTTACCAGACCTTGCTTGCTTTCCCGACGTCGATGTGATGCAAGATGAAGGTTCTTGGTCGTCGGGCGACCAAGGTGCGGGACGCAAGGGGTTGATGGTGTGAACCGGGGCCGGAATAGGCCATGTGCAGACGGGCAAGCCACGGGAAGTGAAGGGAAGAGAAGAGAAGAGAAGCGAAGGAGAAGATGCTGACGGGACTCTATCGTCTCGGCTCGGTCACGGATTGAGTCTCTGTCAGATCTCTTGTTGGTCTTGGTGGTTTGTCGTTTGCTTTCTTTTTCGGTTCCAACGCTGCGGCGGCCGATGGGTTGCTGTGGCTTCGCGCCAAACGGAGCCACTGGTGCCTCTCCCCCCCAAGACCGGATGCAAGATTCGATTGTGGAGGTGCGTTTTTGGAGCTTGTGGGAGACGTCGGCCCCATCGAACCAGGGTCTAAGCAGGTGTCGAGGTGACATCGTTCCCACCGAGAGAATATCGTCCCCGCCCTCTCGAGGGTCACTCGGTCCCCTGCATCTGCGTCTGCACCTCTTCAACCTGGCCCAGCCCAGTCCAGCCTGGGTAGGCATAGGCGTGCCCCGGGCCGCGCCTCACCTCGACTCGACGCACCGCACCGCACTCACGCCGAGGCTGTGATGCCAGCCGCGATAATGCGATATCCGATATCTCCTCTTGTCTCTTTTGAAATCGCATGGTTCAAACACCTCGATTCTCACCACCCTTGTCTTGTTCCGCCCATCTCGTCGGGATCAGAGTAGGATAGAGTGGAAGCCCAACATCCTCCTCCTCGCTTGTCCCCTTTGGCCTTCCTCTTCCAGCCTCGAATGCCCCGTCAACAGGATCGCAAGGCAAGGTCTCGCGCCCCTGGAATCTCCAGGGGGAGGGCCGGCAATGGCCAGGAACCTGAACAGCCGTTGTCCTCGCCCGAGCACTCGGGATCCGGGGAGTTATGGCGGAGGGACACCGGCCGCTGAATTTGGGCCTGAGCTATCAATATTTCGGCTCGTCCCGTCTCCCAATTCGCAAGCTCTGCCTCTTGCGGTCCGGTGTGGTGCCCCTTTTGAGGCCTGACCGTCCGGTGACAGCATCCTTTGCCGAAAGTTTGTCGGCTATTCTTGGGAATGGGGAACTGGGACCGTTCAACGTCCCGGTTGATTACTTACTTCTCGTCCCTGGCCCTACTCTATGCGAGGAATTGCAACTGTGAGTGATCATGCTCTCTCGCTTGACCATGCTCCATCATGGATGCTCGGCGCTACCTCACATCGATCGGGAGCGAGCGCCCTCCATCACAAGGCCGTGATATCCATATCCCAGCAGGCATTCCTCTTGAGGGAACCTGAACCGCGGATCCAGCCATGCTCACAGTGGGACCCTCCATCTTTCCTCCTTCAACATCTACCGGGTGAGTTCCTGATTGATACTCAGAGTCAGGCCAGGTCAAGGGCAGGCGAGAATTCCGCACTGGAGCATGGGACTGTGTGCCTTGCTCCTCGCTCGTGCTCGTACAGGACAGAGGAAGACGCACGATGCTCAACGACATGCAGGTCCTTCACTCAACATTGCCGGGATTGCTTGGGCCAAGCGGACAGTTCTAGAGCAGAGAGTCGTCGAAGTCGGCGCTTACTGCCATGCCGTTTGCGTCATGGATCGCATCGACGGCGCAGAAAAGTTTCTCGCCGCCTGCGTGCAGCGCAGTGCAGCCCCTGAGACGGGCTTCTCCTTGGGTCTAAGGACGAGCTCTTCAGCTGCCAGCCCCCTTTACTGGCTGGGGTGACCTTGCCGAGGGACTTGAAGATGAGCTATGCAATAGTTTGCGGCTCTTGGACTGAAGCTGGCGGACGAAAACGTCTTGGTCGAGGGACACGTATAAGCAGAGACGGGGCAAGAGAGGTTGGGAATATCCATCGTCTCCTCTACTCTGGTCTGTGCTGTGCGTTACACTGACGTCCAGCTCAGCAAGGGCACTCGGACCCGAGAGAGAGCCTTTCACTCCGATTTCTCTTCTTTGCACTACATGATGGATGTGAATGGACTGATTCTCGTCATGGCTCAAAGAGTCGGGGCCTCAAGGGGGCATGTGCGTTCCCCATGTGCGGCAAAGACCCTGGGGCTAGCAGGAGCTGAAGCTGGAGGAGGCGGGAATTGTGTCAAGCCGGGTTCCTGGTCTAGAAGAAAAGAGGGGAAACTTGACTTCGGAGAAAATTTCTACGGCCGTTTTCTTCGACGTCCTGGGGTATATCGCGTGGCAGGGTAAGGGGCGGCTACGATGCGGATGTAACGGGTTCGTCTGGTGTAGCAGGAGAAGGGACAGAGCGGAGAAGATCGGAAGAGGCTCAGGCAATCTGTGGTGTGACTCTCTGCTGGGCGTCGGGATTTTGAGGAGCAGTGAAGAGGGGGGGTGTTGAGAGTCAAATGGTCTATAGGTGAATCTGGATCTCAGGGGTTGCTTGCTCTCGGCTGGAGAAGGAAAAAGCTGGGGTTTCTTTCCTGACGTGGTTAATGATGTGTAATGCATTGTCTGTAAGTGCTTGGTCATGATGGCGATGGGGCTGGATGAGGGCTTGGACAGGGTAAGCCACGGTGAGTTGTTAAAGAAGATAGAGTCTTGGGAGTTGTAGAATATGTTGATGAATGTTTGATATTGTTTAGAAGAGCCAATGGCAAAAAACAACCGAGTTTTGGCTGGTTTTTATTTCATTGATATCATGAGTTGTCGTGGTCATGATTGTTTGTGGGGTGGGGCTATAGGGTAGTTGACTCGAATTCGGGTTGGAATAGCATCATGACTGACACTTGATCCCTGGGATAGGAGATGGACAGTGATTTGGTGCCTGGTTATGGGTAATGTTTATTTATATACATATGTGTCTGGTTTGTGATGTTTCGTATTTGTTAAGGCTGTTATCAAGGAACTCGACTCCCAGCTCACGTTTACAGAATGTCTGACAAGCTGTCCTTCACATATCGTGTAACCGACGTGACGATGCAAACGCGAAATATGAACTACCGAAAGGAGACAATAGAAATACCGAAGGTATCACCAATATATGAATCACACTCAATAAGCCATTCACCTCCAAAAGAACAACTCGACTCCTCTGACTCGAGACATCATCCACACCACACACATCTATCCCATACACCCACCAGCAAACCCGAGAAACATAACAACAACAGACAAACACGGCCATGTGCACCCTCATATACCGCAAGTACGACTGCACAAAGTGCCAGCGCCGCGTCCGAGACGACAAGTGGATCGAAGAGTGCGATCGAGTCAGGGCCGGTCGTAAGGGTACATGCGAGGCCAAGTTTGAGCACGAGACGAGCTACGTTCCCGCTGACGAGTGTATCGTCTGTGAGATGGAGAGGAGAAAGAGGGAGGAGGAAGAGGAAAAGCAGGCTGAGAAGGATGCCATGGAGCAGTCGGGGTGCAGTACAAGCTGAGGATGGACTGCTTGATGAATGAATGATGATGCTGTTATTGGCTTATGAGCGTTGTAATCGTCTCGAGAACATTTAGTTCTTCTTTCAGTCTATATCTAATGAAGCGACATTTCAGTTGACCGAACCCATGCTATATTGTACAGACCTCCCAACGCCATACCATGGATACCATACCATACCCTACCCTTAAACCCACCGCGGCAAGTAATACTTGACATTCTCATACACCAAAAACGTCACCCAAGTCGCAGGCATAACCCTCACAACCCCGGGCATCAACCCGCGATAGAACCCCCTCAACCCGTCCTCCTTCCAGATCCTCACCACGACACCCCTAATACCCCGTCCGAACCTCTCATCCGCCTCATAGTTCTGCAGCCGGCTCCGGAGCACCTGGTAAGGGTAAGTCACGGCGCCGGCGACGAGCTTTGCCGCGCTCGAAAGGACGACCGTCGCCTCGGGTGTCATGGGGGCGTCTCTTGGGACGCCGTGCCTCTCCTGCCGCCGCGCGTAGTACCACCGCTTTGCCGGCTCGTACACGGCGAACTGCACCGCCCCGTGCGACACGCCTATCAACGAGACGCCCAACCCTCGGTACAGGCCTCGGACGCCCTCGGTGCTGAGGATTGAGCGCGCGCCCGAGATCATGGAAGGGTATGCGCCATGTGCGCCGCGGTCAGAGGATACCATGCGTGTCTTGAGGACCCAGACGGGGTTCGTCAGCGCCGACGTCGATGCGCCGGCCAAGGCGCTCGCGACAAAGTAGTCTCCTGCCGAGGGATGACCGTCGGGTCGGCTGTGCCAGGTGGCGAGGGCGCGCTCGAAGCGCGACTTGAAGAAGAAGAAGGAGGCCCAACTGGAAGCATTCCCGACGAGGTTGGGCGTTAAACCGCGGTAGAGAGAGGCGAGTGGTCTGGGGTTAGACGTTAAAGAGCGGAGGAGCGAGACTGTCGTAGGGCGAACGGCAGAAGACGCAGAACTGCGGTAGACTGAAGAGAGTTTGTTAGTTATAAGTGTTCAGGTATATATATGAGAAGGACTTACTTTGCATGCGAGTCTTGACAATGTCAAGAGGATGCACTACCAACGTCGCGACGGTACCGGCGCTGAGGCCGGCGATGGACTCGATGGCCGCGGGGGAGAGACCCGCATGGTTGAAGTCGGGCATATAGTAGGGGACAAGTTTAATCTATAAGAGACTGTCACATTTTATGAACAGGGTCAAAAGAGAGAGCGTTGTTGTTGAAGATGTCAAGTTTTTGATACTAAAGATGGTTGACATAATCTTTTTTTTTCCGGAGCGGAGCTATCACGGAAGCTATGCCGAGCTTTCGACGTCACAAGGCGCCTTGTTTCGGCTTCATGAACCAATACGCCGATTCAACAAGAGGGACACCCAAGTAAAAAGAATTAAGAGTGGTTTTTTCCCTCTTCTCGTCTCAGACTCTCAGGTCCTTCAGAGTTCAAGTACTCTCAGCGTGATACATTCATTTCGTACAATCAACCCCCCCCTTCCCCTCCCTCTCAAGCATGCGTCGGATTTCCCGGCCATCGATTATACACGACATAAACCCCAACGCCCTTGAATGCTGGTGGTTTTGCTGCTTCAGACCCTTTTCTTCTTTAAAAAGATAATGTACATTGTAAGGTTTGTTTATGGTGTTTGCTCTGCGCTTAGGAGAGAGGAGAGAGGAGGCTGTGTCGAGACATGTTAGTTGGATATTCAGATGTTAATGGCTCGTGGGGATTTGGGCATACCGGATGACCGAGGGTCGAGGCTCGCTGCGGGTGTAGCCTATCGAGAGGGGTTAGTCTTGTCGAGATGAATGTAGTTCGTTATTCGAGCGTCTTCGTACCGAGGTAGAGGATCAGAGGAAGGTAGCCACTGGAGGACAAGTCAGCCATATTGGACATTGCAAGTTACAATAGAAGGATAAACATACTAGTGAATGGCGACGCGAGAAACGTCAATGAGCTTGGCAATGCGCTCCTGCACAACTCCATTAGCGATGCCTCCATACCCATCCTCTCGAGCTATCGCATACCTTGGACTCTTCGGAGAGGGCAAACATCTTGAAGACGGGTTATAGTCGAAACAAAGAACAGAAACCTGAGGAGGACGGGCTGCGAGATAAATCTCTAAAGGGCGCGGGAAATCGTTTAAAGACGCTCGAGGCTGATGTATCGCAAAGCGGCGGGCGTTGAATTGACGTTCTCCAAAAAATTCGGCCGGGTCATGGAAAAATGTTCCACCTCCGAACTTGCGCGGGCCAACTTCGGCAAGCCACACCTTCAAACCTTTGCCTCGCTGTGGCTTGTGGCTGGTGACAAGGCTGATCCAAAATTTCCCTACCAAAGCTCCCCCAGGATTCAAGGTGACACCCAAGCTTCACCACCATCATCAAAACCTCTGGATTTTCTTGCTTTTACGCTCTTTTATCCAGGGATCTTACGAATCGCGAAGGAGTTAGCTCCTCATAACAAACCGTCATCATGGCGCAAAATAGGCATTGGTAAGTCCTTCAGTCGCAAGGCTTCACACCCTCCAAGCTAACACGCGCTTCAGGGAACAGGACAAGGAGGCGACCGTCTACATCGGCAACATTGACGAGCGCGCGACGTCGGCCATGGTGTACGAGATCATGCTCCAGATGGGACCCATCCACAACATCCACATGCCTCGCGACCGCGTCACCCAGACGCACCAGGGTTTCGGCTTTGTCGAGTTCCGCACGCCCACCGACGCAGAGTACGCGGCCAACGTCATGAACGGCGTCAAGCTTTACGGCAAGTCGCTTCGCGTCAACAAGGCGAGCGCAGATAAGCAGCGCGCAGCAGAAGTCGGCGCTGAATTGTTCGTTGGAAACTTGGATCCCATGGTGGATGAAAAGATCCTCTACGACACGTTTAGCCGCTTCGGTCCGTTGTTGAGCTTGCCCAAGGTCGCGAGGGAGGAGTCGGGTGCTAGCAAGGGATTTGGGTTTGTCAGCTTTGCCGACTTTGACAGCAGTGATGCTGCTATATCGAACCTGCACGGCCAGTATATCCTCAGCAAGGAGGTGTCGGTGCAGTATGCTTTCAAGAAGGATGGAAAGGGAGAGAGACACGGTGATGAGGCCGAACGAGAGTTGGCTGCTCAGGCCAAGAAGCGCAACATTGTCCCCGAAGCTCAGCCTGTTCCTCAAGCGTTCCTTCAACCACCGCCCGCCGCAGCTCCCGCGCCCCCAGCTGGCTTCGATCCGACTTCCATGGGTAGGATGCCTATGGGTGCTCCTCCACAAGGCATGCCCGGTGGCTTCGCTCCTCCGCAGCGCGGTCCATCACCATACAACGCTGGTGCTGCTCCGCCTCCGGGAGCACCTCCTCGCGGCTCGGGGCCTCTACCCCCAGCGCCGTCTGGCCTACCTGCTCGGCCGCCTCAATCACAAGCCGGATTCACCAACCCGGCCGACTTCCACCCCGGCAGCTTCCGACCTCCCTCAGGATCCCCCGCGCCCCAAGGATACCCGGCCGCGCCTCCGCCCGGCTTTCAACCTCCTCCACAAGGTGCTCCTGGCGCTCCTGGCGCTCCCCCTCCAGGCTTCATGCCTCCCCCTGGCTTCCAGCCGCCTCCTGGATTCCGTCGGTGAACAAACTCCTCTCGACAAACATCACAAGGACCATATTTGGCAGAATATTCTCTCATCTGAGCTTTAAAGACTCGACCGAGTCGTAGACTCCATTGACCAGACCGTTGTTACGGTCAAACAAACGACCTCGCGTCGTGCATCTAATTACCCCTTAAACCACCAAAGGAAGAGACCATGGACGTCCATGGTCAGGTATCGTACAGACCTCCTTAAAAAGACCCCTCCCCCGAATTGGTATACAAATCATCAAAAATGAATTCCTTCCTCTCTTAAAAAAAAAATGCGGCCAAATACCATGCTCCAACGCCGGATTTTGAACCTCCTCTTCTTACCCTCCCCCTATTCAGCAACGCCCTGAAAATGCCTGCCCTGCTTCCATCGTCGCCTTTTCCCATTCTCGAGCCGCTTCCTCATGCTGGCCTTGAACCTCGTACGACTGCGCGAGCATGCCGTCTGCGACACTCTGCCAGAGGACATTGCCGCTGCGATGTGCCTGCTTGGCTGCCGCCAGTGCGCTCTTGAGGGCCTGTTCGCCAATGACGTTCTCGAACAGCCGGTTTCGCATAATGGCAAGCGTCACGGCGGCGCCCAGCACATTGTTAGTGGACTTGGACCCGCCCATGGCGGCTTGGATGTGTTGCTTCTGTTGGTTGAGCTGCTGTGGAGGATCCGTGGTGATGGCAGCCATGACATTGTGCCAAGCTGTGCGCAGATCGACATTGTGATGGCTCGAGCAAAGGGGCTGCAGCTGCTCCATCAAGTCAAGGGTCTCTTGGTCATCCCGCTGCGAGTGGTGCTGCATAATCCAAAGCCTGTTGAGGCCGGCAAGCATGGCCAGCTCTCGATGCCCCGCCTTGACGCCGGTTCCGCGCTGAGCAATGTCGAACGAAGGGGTTCGGAATATGTCGAGGGCGGTCTGGAGGTCTCCTGTACCCTGGTGATAGACACCGGATAGATAGATGGCTAGCAGCCTGAGGATGCCCTGCGTGGATGGAGTAATGAGAGTCTCGAGCTTAACGATGAACTGTTTCACCTTGTCCCATTGGCAGTGACTGGCTGTGAACAGGCCGAGCAGGATGTTGAGGTACGCTTGAGCCTCCATGCGCCACTCGCGTTGTTGAATGGCCTCCTGCAGTGAAACAGAAGGGCCATAGCGAATGCCGGCAGTAGTGTTGTCCCCTGTCAAGGTTAGCACCCGCTCATTGCTTTCAACGTGAATATCACCTACAAGAATCGAGAATCTTCAGGCCCTCTCGCCAGAAATCGGAGGCGGGTCGACGGACATGTTGGGATTGAGATGTCTTGTGCAGGTTCGCCAAACCGCTAAAGGTGAAACTGACTCCTAGTTAGTCAAACACAGGTAAGATTGTCAAAGGATCAACTTACACAAGAGAAGTCAGCTCAATCTTGGTCATGAACGACATCACCAAGTAATCCACAGGCCCAGCATCTCCATCTCCATGACGGATAATGGCGGCTGTATCGCTGCTGATGGTGTGCGCCGTCGAGGGCTGCTTCTTGACAGGGATGAGAAAGTCCGACTTCACGTTATGCCAGTCGCCGCACTCGTCCAGTCGATTCTGCACCGCCCGCATCTTCTGAGTCGTTACATCTGGGCTCTGATGATTGATGCTCGATGCGAGATCGAGGAGCAGCATGAGCATGTCGAGCTGCATGATGTGAACTGACGGATCAAACTGAAACTTGGCCGCCTGGGCGATGCACTGCTGCACCTTTTCGATGTTGCCGTCTTTGGATGCCTTGAGGAGGGTGAGTCCTTCGAGGAGTGAAGCGAAGGCGCTGATGGCATTGTCGCCGCGCGAGTTGGCCAGGACTTGGATGGAGCGGATGTTTTCGAGGGCGCTGGCATCAGCGGTCTGGCCAACTTCCATGTAGAACGAATTCTTCAGCAGCCTGAATGCATACGCCCAGTGTACGTGTTTGTACCTGAAGAACCTTTTAGCACAAAGATCTGGGAAATGGGTGTTCATCTGAGACAACTCACGTCTCGCAGTCTGCGATATGGCGGTCGACGGCAGTCAGGGCAGCCTTATGGGTTCGCTGGAACAATAGCTTCAACTGGATATACTGCATGCAATACTTGAGATCAGACATGCGGTGCTGTCACATGGGTTAGTTGTGCTGAGTTGGGACGTTGAGGCTGTACTCACTTTTTCGCACAGTGAGATACCCTTGGCGAGCGCTGTCTCAGCCTCCATCAAATTCTCCGTCTCCTCTAGTAGTACAGCAGCGTATCGTAGTCGCATCCTCGCCTCTTGACGAGGGGAGAGCCGACCGCCCTGTAATGATGCCTCCAAACATGCCAGACCAGTGGATATCAGTTTCTGGTACTCCTCTACGTGGGTATCATTCAGAGACATGGCGACATCGTGGACGGAAGCGCGAGCTTTGTCGAAGCACTCCTCGGCCACCGCCACCATGATGTGAACAGTCTCCGGCGGCCGAGCCTTTGGTGTGGTGGCCGGCGACTTCTTGGTGAGGCTCGGAGAGCGTGCAGTCAAAGCCGGGGAGTTGCCAACGGATGAAAGAGGACTGGGTTTTATTCGAGGTGTGGCAGCGCCGGGCCTTTGTTGATGTGTTTGAGGTTGTGGTTGAGGCGGAGGGAGATGTTGAGATTGTGGACTTCCCAGCATAATATCCATGGGTGTCACAGTTATAGTGTCTTGTTGCGGCGGTTGAGCTTTGGGGGGCTCATGTCTTGAAGAGCTCTGTAGGTTTCCCATCGTGACTGGAGGGAGGGGTGGTAGTTGTTGAATATCCTGCAAATTCACATAGTGCATTTGCTGTGGTTCAGGTTGGGGAGGTTGGTGATGCTGCACAGGCTCGGGAGTAGGCTCAGGAGCTGCATCTTGGACAGGTCGCTGGGTGGTTTGTTGTGGCTGCTGCTGAAAGGACTGGGGTGGTGGCGGTTGGACGGGTTGCTGCCGCTGCTGCTGCTGTATTTGTGGCTGAGATTGCTTATGAACAGGTTGCGGTGACGGCTGGGAGACGGGTATTTGAGATTGATGCTGCTGGACATGGGTCTGTCGCTGCTGCTGCTGCTGCTGCTGCTGCTGTTGGTGCTGATATTGCTGGCGCTGTTGCTGTTGCTGCGAGTACTGCTGGGTCTGCTGTTGGGGCTGCGGCAATCGATATCCTTGGCTCTGGGGAATCGATGGTGTCCTTTGTCGCGGTGAAGGAACCTGACTCTGCTGCTGAAAGCGCTGCTGTTGCTGCGGCGAGGCGACGGGCCGCTGATACATCTGCTGATGATGCGGCTGCTGAAATTGCTGCTGAAACATCATGCCCTGACCCCCAGGCGACTGTTGCTGCTGTTGTTGCCACACATTAGGCGGCGGAACATACTGCGCAGCAGCTGCTTGCATCTGATGTCCTCCAAACGCCTGGTTGTTGGTCTCATATCCCTGATACGCCGTCGTTGGCATCCCCCCAAACTGCGCCATCTGCTGCTGAGCATGTGTCGGCATATATGGCTGCTGCCCCTGCTGTTGTTGCTGAGGCATCGAGTAGAACTGCTGTTGTTGTTGTGGACTCGAAAACTGTTGATATCCGCCGCCGCCGCCGCCGACGTATGACGGAGATGAATTCATGCCCGGTGTCGGCAGCGGCTGCTGCTGGCCCTGCTGGCCCTGACCGTGATAGGGCCTGTAGCTCATGGCCTCTCGCTCTCCGTGATGCAGAGTGGTCCTCGTCTCTCAGCATCCGATAGATGTCTCGTCGTCGCGGGGCGCAGGCCGGCGCGATTCTGCTTCATGACATGGCGCTCTGTCGCTCTGACCTGCTTCCTCTCTGCTCCTTCGGGCTCCCGCTCCCGGTTTCTCGTACGTGCGTGCGTCGCCTCGATTCGTCGGACCGTATCGGCTTGCGATTCGATTCGCGACTCGATTTCGTTCGATCTCTTGGTCTCGTGTCTCGTCGACTTTGAATGTGGTTGGTTTTCGGGCGTGAAGGACGGGAAACACGAGTGCGACGGGTTGGATCCCGTCGTGTCGCGGGGGTTCCTGATTGGTCGGATTTCAATGGCAGCTGGGGAGACTATTTTAGACTATGCATAGGTACGGACTTGAGTTGTGACCTCAGCCTCAACATCAGGGGTGCAGTATCTTTCTCTTCATCTCAACAAAGGCAAAGGCAAACTTCAATTTTATCATCTCAAATTCGCGTTTAAATCTCATTATACAGGTACTCAAACATTGGCTGAAAAAAACGTGATTATTATGCCGTCAAACATGAATGTTACTTTTCATCAAGAACCCCCAAATGCAAACAAATGTAAAAAGCAACAAAATCAAGGCCCACGCTCGTTTCTATACTATCTCGAAAAACTTCAAGATATTTGATAACGTCCCTAGCGCCAGGGCATGCAACATCCCCATCGGGTATTAGAATAAAACACAAGAAAAGAAACGCGCAAACTCCACCAATGTCTTGCCTTGCTCATCCATCATAAGCATGATTCCATCCAGAGCGCGCTCAACCCATGCAGACCCATTCAGCAAATACACACCACCGTGCTGTGCGATCTGCCAGCACGAGGCCTCTCCATACACCCTTCTCTGAACACTTGATGATTGTCTCCCAGGTGCCGCCGTCGCTAGCGGCTCCTCCACCCGAGAGACTTCCGCTTCCAACATGAATGCCCCTGCGATCCTCCTTTCTCATAAGGCGCAGGATCTTTCCTCCGGGCGTCTGAATCGCGAGCTTGGCAGGCTTCTTCCCAGCCACAGTTCCCGTAGCTGAGCTTGGGGTCGAGCCACTAGCACTCGAGGCGTTGATGCTCAGCGCGGAACCAGGTCGGGCAAATGGAACAGGGCTTGTGCCTCCTGGGTTTGATGAGGGCGTCAAGGCAGATCCATTCGATAGCGAGCTTGGATGTTGTCTGATGGCAAAGACAAACGTGTTGTTCAGTGCCAGTCGTTGACATTGTGGCTGAACCACGTAGATGTCGTGTCGTTGCGCATGAGGAGTAGGATGCCTCGTGACAAACTCGTAAGGCGGGTTTTCACCCGTGTGAACGATGGGCAACGCGAACGCCATCGGATGTGGGATGTCCTTGATGCTGTGCATCAATCCTCGCTTGCCCGCGTAGACCTTCAGAGTGCCCTGTCCCTCGTCTCCTGGCAGCAGGGCCTTGATGGTGTATCGCTTGATTCCGTTGAACCACTCTGCTTGAGCCAGAGCCCTCTTCTTGACAATGTCGCCGCTCTCAAACACATCTCCATCAGAGTCTCGCGAGTAACCTCGAACCTCCACCTCAGCTGCGACTTCGACATCGGATGGGACGTTGAACTTGATATGCACCATTTCCAAATCCTCGATTCGGGTCAGAGCTGTGTTATAGTCGACCATTTCAATCTCGTTGCGGAAGAAGGGCGCGCAGGCGCATGGCAAGTTGAGAAGCGTCTCATGCGCAACCGGGGGAACGATGTGCTGCTGGCTGTGATGCTCAGGAATGTGAGTCCAGCAAATCTCCAGTGGCCGAGAAAGGAACCACCAAGAGTCGGCTGAACTGTTACTGGCGCTCGAGTAGAGACCTCGTCGAGGATATGAAGGGCTGGCAACACAGCAATCGATCATACGCCATTCGTTGTCCACCATGACAGCGTTCCACCAATGGTTAGGCCGAGGCATAATGTTGATCTCAGACACCTCTCCAGGAGTCTTGAGATAGCCTCGCACGACCTCACAGTGAATGCCCACGGCAGAACACATTTCCATAACCAAAACAGCATACTCCTCAGCACACCCTCTCTTGGCTTGGATCACCCGTCGTGTATCGATTTCTCCTTCGAAATCTTCCTCCCAGCAGATCCTTTCAGATACCCATGTGAAGATGGCCCGTAGGCGCTGTACGTCGCTTCGATACGGGCGGCAGACATACGTGGTAGCCAATTGGGTAGCTGTGATAGCAGGAGGGAGACCGCTAATGAAGCGAGAGTTCTTGTCGACCTGGGATAGGTTGATGGCTGCATAATTGATGGGCTCGGGCACCGGCTCTCCATCTACGCCTTCGTCTCCCTCGACACTCTCGTAGAGCTCATCGACAGGATTTAGAGCCGGGTGGTCCATCATTTGGCATCGTTCTCGACGCTCAGTCAACTCTATTGTGCTGAGCGAGTTCGAACGGTTCACATCACGACGGACCTGGACCCAATCAACACCACCAGACAAGCCCATTTCAGTTGCAATGTCTCTGCTAGAGGGCGTGCTCCCCAAACCACCCATAGGAGAGGATCCCGGTGGCATCGAACGGGCAAAGGGTGATGACTTGGGAGAGTCGATGCCCATTCCACCTGACACAAGCCCACCTCGGCTGCTGGCGACACCTGTCTTTGCAGTATCCAAAATCTTGCGGAAGATATTCCTCTTGGGAGGTTTCGGCTGGACAAGTCCTCCAAGTCCCAAGGCAGGATCGTCATGGAAGCCAACCTGAGTCTGCGGCCGCTGCAGTTGCTGAGCAGGGGCGTTACTGGCGTGACTGCTGTGGTAAGAGACTCCAGTAAAGGGTGAGTCGGGTCTATCATTGTCCGGCTCTCTCAATCCTAGAGCACTCTGAGCACGGTTCCCGGACCTAGCAAGACTTCCCGCGCTGGTTGAGCTGAAGGCGCCTGCTGAGGTTCCACTCCACAGAGTTCTGGAACTGCTTTGGGTCGAAGAACTGCTATTGCTCTGGTTTCCGGAGGAGGCGTTGGTCGAGTTGGTCTTGGTTGTTAGGGTACGGGCAACGCCTCGACCTATCTCATAAGCTGACTTGCGAGCTCTCAACTTTCGAGGTGGATCAGCAGACCGTCCCATTGACGACTTGGGCCGCTCGAATGGCACATTCTTAGGGGGCGGGGGAGGCGGAAGGTCGTCGATATCGTCCTCTACTCTCGAACTTTGCCGGTGCAACTGTTGAAACTGCTTCTCCATGCGCTCGACGTAGCTGCTGAGTTTCTCGTCACGGGAGCCGCTCTGATAGGACACCTCCTGTGAAGATTCGCCGCTCCAGGTTTCATAACCTTCGTCCTGCTGCGCTATGCCCATTGATGTTCTAGGTCTGGACCGTTCTTGCGTCTTCCTGCTAGAACGCTGGGTTGAAACCATGTCGAATTGTTCTGGGGACCAGGGGTCGTGGTTTGGCTCTGGGGAGCCGCGATCTCCAGGCCTCCTCGAGTTACCTTCAAGGACTCCCAATTGCTCTATTACTCCATCCATAGCCTCTCTGAGGGGTGAAGGGGTCATTCCCCCAGCAGGCGATGGCGGAGCGGGAGACATAGCGCCAGGTGTGTACGCCCTATAGGATCTGTCGTCAAAAGAATTCCGCGACCTATGGCTCATGTTGGGAGGTGGTGGTCTGTAGGAATTATTCGAATTTTGCCTTGAACCAGCAAAGTGGTTATATGAGGCATTGGATCCATGTCGTGACATTTCAAGAGAAGTCCTCTGAAGATCCTTCGAACCAGCCCGTGTCATTTGCCTATGAGGAGGCGGCGCTGGAGGGGGCGGAGAGTTATCCCGTCCTTGGCTTTGGTAGCTGGAAATTCGATGGAAGGATGGGACGGGCGATGGACCTCTGGAGCTACCGTAGCCATGGCTATGATGCATTGGAGGAGCAGGAGAGGGACCTCTTGCGCCATAGCCATGAGGAGGCGCAGGTGAAGGGCCTCTTGAGTGGTAGCCGTGCATTGGATTTGGAGACGGAGCTCGTGAGTTGTAGCCGTGTGATGGCGCAGGCGAGGGTGCCCTGGGGTCGTATCCACGGGGAGGTGCAGGAGATGGGCCTCGTGAATGATATCCGTGAGGAGGAGCGGGAGATGGAGCTCTTGGATCGTAACCGCGGGGGGGAGCGGGTGATGGAGCTCTTGGATCGTAACCTCGGGGAGGAGCAGGCGATGGAGCCCTCTGATCGTATCCATGAGGGGGGGCAGGCGATGGTCCTCGTGAATGGTAACCTTGAGGAGGAAGAACAGGCGATGGTCCACTCTCAACCTCGTGTGTGCTGGGTGCGAAGGAAGCACCTGAATCTTGTCGGACTCGTGGTTTGGGAGTCTCTTTGAAGACCTCGGGCTGCTTCGCGCTGGTGTAGTGAGGAGCCTTGGCGTATGCCTCGAATGGCTTTCGAAACGTCCTCGACTTGGTGGGCGCGTTGCTTGGGGTTGTGCTTGCTGGCGAGGGGACAGACTTGGTGGTTGGCCTGAATTCGGAAGGGAGAAGTTCGACAAAGTTGGATGGGAACGATCCGACGGTTCTTCGATCTCGATATAATCTGCCCACCCACCATGAACCGTCACCAGCATTCAAGCATTCTATCAGATCACCCTCGATGAATCCCAGATCGCGTTTTGACTGTGGCGTCCTGTCAGCGGCAGATTGATCGAGAGTTAAATGGCACAAACCTCTCCTCCCCAAGAGTAAACAGCTCGACACCAGCATGGAAACCGCGTCGGCAACGGTGGTGGAGCCGGTGGCATCGTGAAAGAATGAAGGACTAGAGATGAGGCCAAGAGCTTGACAGGATACAAGGCGCAAAGGCTTGTCTCGAAGGATCGAGACGCGTCTGAGGTGAAGCTTTACAGGGCGACAGACACAGGCATGTCAAACAAAGCTGGTCCAGACACACAAACTGCTAAGACACCAAAAAAAGAGTGGGAAACAATGAGCGTCGATGTGGACAGGGTCTCGTGGTGACCGAGGACGGCGAGGAATTCGAAGCAGCTGCAAACGTCGTCGCGAAGAGATGGGAGGAATGCAGCAACGAGACAATGGCCTTGTAATGAAGCGCCAGTTAGGATGGGATGAGAGACAGAAAATACACAAGCGTCGGGTGGTGGGAAGAAATGATAGATGGGATGAGGCTTGAGGTCGCCTGTCAAAAAGTCGGTAGGCGGCCGAGGCGCTGGAGTCTTGGCCCTGAGCTCTGGTCTCACCGAGAAGTCTGGCCAGTGACAAAACAGAGGGGAGCAGTCACCACGGCAACCGACGAGATCTGCCAGTTTTCCGGGGTGGCTGGCCAGCGCTAGCGGTCGTCCCGCCCACGACAGCTGTGCTTTAACCTGCTAGAGCGCTAAAACATGCGCTGAGACAGTCTAGCGGGCAGCCAACCGAGGGCTGGGCTGGGCATATTCGAGCCTGGCGTGCCTGAGGCTGAAGAATACGCAATTGACGAGAAGCTGGGCCCTGCTGTGCCTGGGAGCTAGAGGTGAGGCTGCTGCAGCATCTGTCGGTCCCCATCTCGACTCGGCCGGGGACCTTGCATGAATCATGGTGACCCGGACGCCTTTTCACGGTGGATGACGGCGAATGGCAAGAGGATACGAGAGCTGACGAGCCGAGTGCGGAATGATGATGATATGGATGAGATTTATGTTGCACGGGATGCACGAAAATGATTTGCATTTTGGGCGTCTCGTCGTGGTTACTTTTTGTGAGCACGAAGTTATTTCTTTTCTTGGGGCAACGCAGAATGACGGCCGCCACGACGAGTAGTGATGAGAGTATTATTTCTTTTGATCTGGCCATTGATGGAACCGTCTCTCGGTGGTGTTCTTGTCCATTTCCCTTCTGAGACTTGCCTTTCTTTATTGAGCACTCGTTGACATCAAAAGTCTCAATTGTTGGGCGCAGTAAGCGGTTGAAGGGGCAATTGGGTCTTGTGGTCCAGGTTAGGACCAACCTAAGCCTTATGTGAAGACGGAAACTTCCACGACTAAGGCAGGTACATCCAGGCTGTTAAGCAATTGTCTGTAGGTAACGATAAAAGAACATTGGGCATTAATCGACAGACACATTTGGTGCGAGGTGACTCAAGTTATACATGGATTATTCGTAAATCGCAAGTAAAACTTGGTCGAGGTCATTGTTTGACCATGTTCGGCCCATTGTCTGGACTCCAGCGGACGGACATTAGGCGCTCCATAGCGCTAGGCAATGTGCCAAGGGTAGCGAAAATGACTGGGGTCGAGTTCCATTCTCTGAGCACAAGCGGCACAGGTCATGGGGCCTTGCCTCCATTCAACCCAGGGCCCTGGAGAGGACCGTCTTGGAGGTATGCGCCGACTGTACCTACCTATATAGACTCCACGACGCTGCATTCGCTCCAAAAGCCCTGGAACACTACGTTGAACTTGAATTCAAGATATCGACTTGAACATTCGAATTTCGTCAAATTTATCATTCGCAATCGCCTCATCCTTTGCCAATCTCCCCCGCCCCAGCTGTCCGCCCGTCGCTCTCGAGCTGTCCCAATCGGGCTAATTGTAAACAAACCAGCGCTGAGGGCCTTAGCTTCAGGCTTCCCGGGGACCCTGGCGCCGCTGTCCTTGACAACCGTCGCTACCTTGACATTAACATTGCGAGTGCCCGCAGACTTTAATAAACGGAGGATCCAGCTTTTGCTGTACTCGCTCTGCGCCTCGACGGTTCTCGATTCATTCCTTCAACAATCAATCAATTCTTTCGCATCTTCCGGATTCAGCTTCATCCTCTCGCTCTTTCGACGTCGTCTCATCCGCTTGCGCCCCTGCCCGTTTCCTAGCCGCGCCGAAACCGATAAAAACGTCTGGGTATTCGTTGCATGACGTCAATGCAAAATGGCCGACGAGGGCGTTGCTGAGCATTATCAAGTGCTTGAGGAACTTGGCCGTGAGTCTTTAGACGCCAGCTCTTTCATTTGCATTTACTAACTTTTCGCCTTCAGGGGGAAGCTTTGGTGTCGTCTACAAGGGGATCGAGAAGGCGACAGGCGAGACTGTTGCCATCAAGCATGTAAGTCCTCATCGCCCTTGGTTGCTGGGCCCACCAATCAGACTAACAACCGCGTCCTCCAGATTGACCTCGAATCAAACGACGATGATATTCAAGATATTCAAGCCGAGATCGCTGTGCTGAGCACTTGCGCCAGCTCCTACGTCACACAATACAAAGGCTCTTTTCTTCGAGGCCACAAGCTATGGATTGTCATGGAGTATCTCGGCGGCGGATCCTGCCTGGATCTTGTATGTCTCCCCCGATCTGCGACTCGGAAGCTCAGCTACTGACAAGGCATAGTTGAAACCCGCCAACTTTAGTGAGACACACATTGCCATTGTTTGCCGTGAACTTCTCCTGGGTATCCAGTACCTGCACACTGAGGGCAAAATCCATCGAGACATCAAGGCCGCCAACGTCCTTCTCTCCGAGACGGGCAAGGTCAAGCTGGCCGACTTTGGCGTCGCCGCCCAGCTGACCAACATCAAGTCGCAGCGAAACACCTTTGTCGGAACACCCTTCTGGATGGCCCCTGAAGTCATTCAGCAAGATGGCTACAGTTTCAAGGCCGACATTTGGTCACTCGGCATCACAGCAATGGAGATGGCCAATGGCGAGCCCCCTCTGTGTCATATTCACCCCATGAAGGTCCTTTTCCACATTCCAAAGAACCCTCCCCCTCGCCTGGAAGGCAACTTCAGTAAGGAGTTTAAAGATTTCATTGCGCAATGTCTCACCAAGGATTATGACCGTCGACCCACAGCCAGGGAGTTGCTACGGCACCGGTTCATCCGCAACGCCGGAAAGGTCGAGGCCCTCCAGGAGTTGATTGCCCGTCGCCAAATGTGGGAGGCCAACCAAAACAGACAGAAGCATCCCATCTACTACCAGGAAACCCTACAGACCATGACTCCTAAGGACGAGCAACAGGAGTGGGTATTCGATACGGTCAAGTCGATCGCGCCGCCACCCAAGAAGCCCACAACAAAGCACCACCGAAAGCCTTCGTCCATCTTCTCTGCCGAAGAGGCGATGCGGAAGTTGGATGTCAAGGACGGACCTCTGGGAGGAACCTCGCCTGCCCCGGCCACTGTTCGAAAGTCAACTGTCCGCCGGACACCATCCCTCGCCCAGAACACATCGATGCGGTCCAGTGGCTCGCCCCGATCATCTCTCCTCCCTAAGAAGCCACTCCAGCCGGACATGTCCTTTGGAAATTCGGGATCGACTATGCGTCTTTTCCGAAGAGTGCCCTCCGGCGGCTCAGACCACACCAGGCCAACCTCTCCAGATGATGTCTTTTGCGATGAGAACCTCCCGCCATCTATGGCGGCTCCTGTTGAGCCCTACGGCAAGGAGGCTGTTCTCGGACGTCGACTATACACCAAGGCTGTAGAGCCCTCGCTCGCCGAGCTGCATGCTCAAACTTCTGCGATGCAGAAGCGAGAAGCGCTGGCGAAGTTGTCGGATGCCTTTGCAGCCCTGGACGCGGTTGACCCCGAGGGAGCCTATCATCTCATGAGCAGCATGATGTCGTCCATGTCCCAGGATAACAAACTGAGCGCTGCTTTCCTCCGTCAGCCTGCCCAAAAGATCCCCGATGACGGCACTCCTCAGGGCACTGTGATTGTCAAGAGCTCCACCCCTGTGAGCAGCCCATCAAAACTCATGATGAGCTCCAGCAACCCTCATCTCCGAAGCCACCGACGCCGCCATGCTGATACGCCTAGCATGTATGAGAAGAACTTTAACAACCAGAAGGGGACCATTGAGTCCAAGTATCCCGGTCAAGAGGCCAAGGCTGGCATGGAACACTCCAAGCAGTTGTCTGATGTTCTCTACTCCCGCTGGGTCGACAATCTTCACGTCCGGTGGCCCGCTGTCTAAGACAGAGCCAACTACACCTTATTGAACCATGAGAGAGCGCCATGGCACGGCACGAACGATTTTATCATGGTTCGTGCTCTACCCAATTTGTTGTACGATGTTTGTACGAGGATAGTTGTACTCCCCATTTTGCATTTGGATGTGCTTTTCAAGCAGGGAATTGCACTGAGAAGGGAAAAGCGAGGCATCGAGGATGATTCTTGGTTGGTTGCATTTTCATCTCCAATTCGATGACTCGGGGGATCCTGGGTTCGCATGGCGCTCATGACATCTTTGACGGCCTTACTGGGTTGGCCTATTATTTCTCACTTCTGCCACTTGCACATGTTGTCTGTTTTACTGCTATTTTGGAGCCAAGGTTAGGCGGCGTTACGAAGGCAATGCATTTTGACTTGGACCTAGGATGGGATAGGATGGGAGGGAGGCATATTTGGCTTTGATTGTTTCTACTGGCATGGGCATTGGTGTGGGAATTTGGCAAGTAGATAGATAGATATAGGCAGTATCTAGAATCACAAATCGAGTATCTGTACTCTGAGCATTAAGTTTCTTGTTTTCAATGACCTCTCCATCGTATACAATATCAAGGAACATTAAGCATCAGGTTTGAGATGCAATCCGCACGAGATCAAGTAATGTGAAGGTGTTGGCTTAGTTGTGATTAAAGGGTGGCTGGTATTACAGTGCGGTGTGTTTGCTTGTTTGAGATGGAAAGGCTCGCTCTATGCTGTGTTACGTTTCATCGCTCGGGCCAAGAGCCAGCTTGATCCTCCAGTTTTTGAACTCGTCAGACAGGATATCCCCATGACCCGTCTCCTCCACCTTGAACAGCTCGATAGTTGGCGATTGTGGTCGACGCTGTATTCTCCAGACGCCCTCGTCGTTGATGTTCTGTGTTAGCCCTTGTAAACAAAGTTAGTCTCATCAAACGAGTTGTCTGTACGGGATGAAAGAGACGTACACTCGAGTACAGTGGCGGCAAAATTGACGCACATGTCGGCGTTCCACTTGGGGTTCGGCTGGGCATTGACCGTCTCAGGGATCCTGTGCGTCTCTATGTCTTGGGTGCTGACCAGGACACCGTCACGGGTGCGGAAACCGACGACGATATGTGGGACGCCGAGGAGGAAGGACTGGATCCAGAACTTCATGAGCTTGCGGTTGAAGTTCTCCATGTCGCCTGGGTTTCGGATCTCTGCAGATGTCTTGAGCTCTACCCAGTTGATGGGCTTGCCTGGCTCTTCGGGCTTTGAGTCCCAGACTGTCAGGGGTGAGTGGGTGTTCGGCTCAGGGGATTGGAAGAAACGTACTGGCATCGACTTCGCCACCAAGGCACAGGACTGTCTTGCCGATACCTGTGCGGACAACGGAGCAGTACTGGGCTTTGTTGTTGACGATTTCGTTCTCGCGGTTTTCGATGAATTCGCGAGAAGTCTCTGCCCATGGACTTGGCAGTGTTGAGAGCGTCTCAAACTTGTATCCTGTTACACAACATCAACAAATGGGTCGACAGTACTGTTGATAAGGGTTGAGGTCTTACCCCAAAATTGCATCACCTCCAGAGGGGGGCCTCTTCTGCGTTTGCCATTTCCCTCGTTGGCTCTTGAGGCGACCTTGTAGGCATGATTTTCCTCAATGAAGCTACTAGGTTAGCTTTTACCTCAGCCAAAGGCTGGGTGATGTTTCTTACATGCAGTCCTTGATGAGGTATACATGTCAGTGGATTGAACTAGACGGGGAGGAAGAGGTCGTCATATTGGGCATACTTGATATAGCGTGGCATTCATTTCGAAGCTATGTGCCAGTCAGTCAGAGGACTGTATATTACTGACGGAACTGGGACTTACCCGTCCCTATCTTCAAAAGGTGCTGCCATGATCTGAGAGACTGTTAGCTTTTAGGGGACTTTTGAGAAACTGAGCTGAGACTCGAACCTTGGTCATCATGCCTCTCCAAGTGACAAGATGGGCATCAATCTTCTTGCCCGTCTCCTTTTCATAGGCGATGATGGTCTTGAGCAAGCTGTCTAGGTGCTCATCACCACTATCATCCTGCTTCTGAAAGGTGTCAAAGCCCTTTGAGAGATCTGCGCCAAGCTGTGGCGTGTAGTAGTACTTGAGGGATGAAGCGTCCAGATGGAACTCATGGTTGTCGTCATAGGAGAAGCAGGCAAATTCCTACACAACGTGAGCATGTAATTGGCTCTGAATGATGATACGAGTATATGGGAAGCCGAGTGAGTAAATGGGGACACGGATACATACCTTGGGTCTCTTGACAGCCTGGCTTTCGCCAGCAAAGCGGCCTATGGGCTGGATGGAGAAGGACGCCGACATGGATGGCGGCCAATGTCGTGTTCAGTTCAATTAGGGCTCAAGACTGAAGATGCAAGGGATTACTTGGCAATATAACCTGTCACTATCGAGATAGCCGAAATCTGCAACAAGAAAATGGCGGCGACAAAATGTCTCTCCTAGGATGCGTTGTGAATGGATGAAAGTGAATGTAGGTGCTGAAGCTGGCGCTGGTGCTGGCGCGTGAGTGCAGTGCTCCGGCCGGTCAAGGGTCAGGTGCTGCAGAATTTACGGTGATACGCTACGGGGACGTGCAGCGAGTTGGCGGGCCATCAGTTTTAAGTGGCTGCAGGCACAGCGTTCTATGGATGATCAGCCGCACTGGTTACCACCCTGGGGACTTGAAGAATAACCTTGAATAGAAGTGGGTATTTAGCGGTGTTAGGCATGGTGTTAGTTGACTGCTGGTATCCAATCTGGGGAGACATCCAGGTGTTGAAGAATGGCCACTGGATATAGACCTCTGTTACACACGACTCCTTCACTTCCATCCCAAGAAATATCATCAAGTGAAAGTGCAGCTAGATAAAGATATCCACTACTTGACACACTGTGCCATCTAGATTCCCGCCCTCAACATGCCGCCAACGTCAAACGCATGGGATGGGCTGCCTCAGTCGACGGTCAACAGCATATATATGCACCCAAGCAAACAATCATACTACATCTCCATTGGCTCCGAGGCGCCTCTTTACCTCCCAGCCGAGTCTTGTAACTCAGAGCAGGGATCATAATGGGTTAACACCAATGCGCTAGTTCTCTCACGGTTGCCGGCATTCAAACGATTGTTCTTTGTCCCTCAAGAGCGAGGTCCTGACCTGGCGGGAGGAGGTGGGGTCGTGTGCACTGCACGGCACTTTCAAGGTGAGGAACAATCGAGGAGGTGAAATCCATTTCGGGTAAATAAAATTCTCTGCTCCTTTCAAAGGAAAAACCTCCGCTCTATCTTTCTTTCTTTCATCCCACAGACATCCATCTTCTGTGCAACCAGAACAAATTCACAGTTCTCTCGCTGATCAGACCAACGTTCACCAAGCTCTCTACCACCAACATCACCACACTAAAGCTCCTGGTCCCTTACAACCCACCCACCCGCTAAAGTCTGCCCCCACTGCCTCCCATCACCCCTACTGGACCCTGAGCTTTAGCGAACTCCAGCAGTAATCACGTGCAATTGGTGGGACTGGATCGCCTGTCTCCCCCCCCAGATCGCCAGCCGAGCTCTCGTTGGCAGCCTCGTTATCATCGCCCGTTGCCGCGCGCGCGCAACCTCCCGACTTACACCCAGCGTTGATCGCTGAGCCCGGTCGTCGCGAGACCCCCATCGACGACCAACTCCCGCCGCAGCTTCGCCCTAGGCTGCGGCTTATACGACAGCGATCACAGCTCCTGTCGTCCTCCCTCCATCGCGCGACTAATCTCCCACGGACGCTGTACGATAGTGCCCATGCCCCGACCGCGCGGACGTCCCAAGAAATCAAACACCCCCCAACTTAAACCGAAACCGAAGCCGAAACAGAAATCCAAGACTAAATCCAAGAAACGAAGAGTGACGGAAGAAGAAGGCTGGTGGACCATCCGCGAAGTTCTTGATGAGAGGGTTGGCAAAGCAGGACAAGTCGAATACTTGGTTCAGTGGGAGGACGAAATTCATACAGGGGAAAGCTTCCCCCCAAGTTGGGTTTGTACTCCGCAGTGTTGTTGCTGTGTTGGCGCATTGTAATAACAGCTTATAGATCGAAGAAGTGACTGACGACGCTCTTCAAGAGTGGGAGGACAAGAAGAAGGCTCGTCAGGGGACCCAAGAACCCGTATCCTCGGTGGAAACCACAGAAACCACGGAATCGGAGCGCGCAAATGCTTCGCCCCTGACCCGACGTCGGTCTGACACCTTTGATCCCAACCCGCGACCAACGAAGAAGGTCAGGGCTGAGCAAGCAGTAGCAGGGTCTGAGGAACCCGTCCCGTCTATCGTTTCAGGTTCATCTGTTGATCTGGATGCGGAAAGCACATATTCTCTAACTGAGGACGATCTTGCTCGACTCCAAGCTCAAAGACTTGCCATTGTTTTCACTAAGCCCGACAACTTTGACGCCTCCGAGTACCAGAGTGTGAGCAACAGCCAGACCAGTTCCCATAAGGTGTCTGAACTTGAAGAGAACGACCAGCGAGCTGCATTTGCGTCGCAATTAAGCCAAGGTACCATCCCCGATTCGCAAGATCTCTCCGGACACCTGTGGACTCGCCCGGAGCCCAGATCACCATCTGTCGTTGAAGAGGTTGACCAGTCAGGGGCTCCCGCGTCTCCTGAACTCGGATCTCTTCCGTCCGAACAGCACCAAGCTCTCACATCCCCTGAACCTTGTGAGCGCTTGGAACTTGACGACTCGTTTGTACCCAGCCAGGAGGAAAGTTCTAGTCATCCCAGCACCCTCCAGGAGGGTCAATCCACACAAGACGACCACCTGCCCAGCAACAACGAGGCCATTGAGGAGGACCAGCAGGACGAAGACAGCCCTCTGCTTGAAGAGGACAACCAGGACGACCACGACTATCAGGACGACGAGGCTTGCCAGGACGACGAGGACACTGATAACTCCCCCATCGTGCTGGACCTTGAAAACATCTCTGACGATTCGACAATCTCCGATATCGAAGAATCCGCCAGCATTCCTGGCGATCCCACGCTCACATACGTTGATAGTGCTCTCGACAGTACCTTGGAAGATCGAGACCCTCAAGTAGACCACGACACTGCAGTCGATAGCCTTTCGAACAGCCAAGATCTCGGAGACGGCCATATCGCCCCTGAAAGTGAAATTGTTCAGGATCAGGATAGCTCTCAAGACGATCAAATTGTTCAAGACGATCCAGAGCCTGCAGACGACGACGACACTCAAGACGTTGAGAACCAAGGAAGCACAAATATCGACGTCGGCATATCCCAGGACACCCAATCTCCCGTGGACAGTTCATGCGCATATACCTGTCGAGCTTCCCAGGAGAAGCAGAGTCTTGAAGAGAGCCAAGACGTACAGGACCAACAGTCGAACCGAGATCGTAGCCCTCGGGTTATTGACGACTCTTTGGACAGACAAGATTCACCGGTTGACCACGCGGAACCCCAGGGTTCGTCGCAAGTTTCTTGTCTTGAAGAAGACCCGGATACTGGGAACAATTACGTGCCTGAGCCCGGATCAACTGCAGCCCCTGAAAGTTTTGACAACAATCATCTCTCCAAGCCAAGCAACGAAGCCGGTGTAATTCCGCCTTTGGGATCGCCGCTATCATCCCAAGCATCTAGGCCAGGACAACAACCCACGCCGAGCTCCCGAGTCTCGATTAACTCTCTGGTCATTCCGGACTCCCAGGACCAGTCATTAACCACACGAGGACAGCATCTTTTGTCTGCACAGAGTCAAGATTCATTGTCATTGCCACAGCCTCAAGTCACACTGGTCCCATCGCAGATCGAGGTTGTCCCAGACTCGGTGACAACCAGCTCGGGAATTCCATCCCATCAACCCGACCAGTCACAGCCAGCTTCAGTACAGAGCCAGGCTTTAACAGAAAGTGATCGGACGAATCTGAGCGCCCAGCCCTCGACTGAAGTCGGGAACATTGACCGGCCATTGACCTCGAACGTGACATCCAACTCGCAGGTCTTTTTGACCCAACCACGGCCGCTGCGCCATTCCTCCGAGCTTCCAAGCTCATTCCCTCCCCAAACCTCCCTCCCTTCTGAGCTCGAACGGCCTGCTTCTAGTCCAGGGTTTCGGGCACTGTCTCCCGACAAACCCCAAACTCCCCAAGCATCGCAGGTGGCTCAAGAACAACCGGAAAAAACGCAGCCTTCAGAAGACGAAGAGACTGCGGCCTGTCCTATTCGAGCTATAATCCGGCGCTCGCTATCTGGGGCGCCTTCGCTGCCATCTCAACCAGAATCCGATACAATGGATCCGACCTCACCCAACCGGCGCCAGAGTTCGGCAGTCGATGAGTTGAAACGCTACATAGACTTTGGCAAGGATTCATTTTTGACACAGGCCGAAGAGCCAGCAGAGCCTCCCACATCTTCAGAAGCGCCGAACCATGAAGACCCTATGGTTACCACGGCGGTCCCGGAAGTCATGGTGAGCTCCTCCGAGTTACCGATACAATCTCAACCGGCCTTCTCGGTGGAACCATGGAAAGCAGAAGTTCTGGGTAATACACCAGAAGAACCAGCTCCGTCCATCTCGCCGGCGTCTATCATGGCCAACCCCAACCAGTCTGCGGTCGAACGAATGCAAGAAATAGTAAACATGTCATTTGGCGACTCAGCAGGTTCTCTTTCACAGTCCTTGATTGTCCAGGAACCCGAGATGATGCCTCCAGGAACCATTTCTCCGGCTGCTATCATCAGGTCGGTTGATGCGGTTGAGTCGACACATACGTTAGACTTCTCAAACCAAGGTACACTGTCCTCAAGGATCGATGAGAGTTCAGGGCAGGAGATCACCTTGGGACAGGTTCCTGACGAGCAGGAATCCGATGTTTCATCACAATCTTCTCATCGGTATGAAAATGCCTCGCCTCATATCGTTACTCTCCCAATGCATGCAAGTCGGCGACCATACTATGAGGCGATCATCGTGGATCACAAGAATGATATCCACGAGTTTGGCTCGATGTTTACCGAAGGCATGGACGAAGAACCTAGCGAGGATCTCAAGGACAAGATTGACAAGCTTTTCAATCGCCTATTGAACATTTGCGACTATCCTCAGGACATCGTTGGGACACCACTAGAACGACTCCCTTCCCCCGACCTAGCCAAGTACTGCTGCGATGCCAATCCCAAATTCAACTTTTTGTTTGAATTGTTGTCCGCCCTTGGAGAAAAGGAGACAGGAATCCTGATTGTTGCACGCAGTGCTGAACTCCTCCGGCTTATCTTTGCCGTCACCGAAGCCGTGGGCATCGAGTGTTCAGCAGAGAGCATTGGAAAGCAGAGCGACTATCCATCAGTGACGAGAATCACTCTAGCGCTAACTACTGAGGAGTTTGATCCATACAAATTCGATGTTGTCATCGGATACGATTATGGCTTCAGCAGTTCATCCATGGCCAAGCAGTTGTCAAAAGAAAACGTCCGAAAGCCACCGCTTGTGCTGTTGCTCACGACGACACACACGATCGAGCACATCGCACTTCGCAAATCGCAAGACATGTCGACATTAGAGAGCAAGAATTCATTGCTGGCGAGTGTCATCCTTGCAAGGCGTTATCTGGAAGACCCAGAACGCGGCTACGGTGACCCTCATCAAGTCGCGGAGATCTTTTCGAATTATCTAAATGGCATGACTGATGCAGTGAGCTGGGAGCCTCAAGGCATACCGGACGATGTGCTTGATGTTTTTGCAACAAACTCGCAATCGCAATCTTTGCCTGAGGACAGGTTGACATCTGGAAACAACCTCAAGCGAAAGCATGTAAGTGATGGCACGAAGCAAGAAGACCATAGCCATTGACAGCTTCTTAGGATGACGATGATGAGGACGAGTATTCCAAGCGATCACGCGTGCTCCCTCTCACAGAGTTGCCAGTTGAAACTCGAGATCCTCCTCTGACCCTCGCAATGCGGCAATTCCTCGAAAGCATCACGCCTCGGGGACAAGGAAGGAAGGACAACGACTCCACGATCGAGATACCTATCTCGCAGTTGGAGTCGATTAGAGAAAAGGTTAGTTTGCGAACAAGGAACGTGTTGTCAGGGGTTGACCGTGATCAGCACGACGAATACAAGCGTCAAATTGCTTTGGGGCGAGGGATCGAAGTCGACTACAAGTCCGTCATCCACCGGCTTGAAAAGGAACTCAAGGATTATAAACGGACTGCCAACAAAATCGAAAGATCAAATCGCACTGCCCTCCAAGATCGAACAACGTTTGAGAAGGAGAAGCAAAAGGCCGAGACCAAGGCAAAGGCAGCAGCAGAGACAGCAGAGAGAGAGAGGAAGAAGCTACAGAAGCATATCGAGGAACTCGAATCCAAGATCGCGCACTTGACAGCAAGCCCTGAAGCGTCGAAACTGGAAGACATGCTCAGAGACGAGCAGAGTCAAGTGGAGCTTCTGACGAAGAGGCTGGGCAACGCTCAAACAACACAAGATTTTTATCAACACCGCTACCAAGAGGTCGATGGCCAAGCCACAGAGCTGGCGACGGAGAACAAAGAGCTCAAGAGTCGGCACGAAGACTTGCGGACAAGGGCATCCGATAACCTGAGAAAGATCCAAGAAATCAACGCCAGCCAGCAATCGGACGCATTGAAGGAACAAATCAAACAACTCACAGCTCAGGTCAATGAGAGAGAACACCTTTTGAACTTGGCCCACGAAGAGCTACGAACATTGCGGAATGGGCGTCCACAGACTCGGGGGACTAGCGTGCCACGGAGCCCTCGTGTGCCCATGATGAGCCCACGGCCAGGTCGTGGATTCACTGGTTCTGCTAGCAGAGGAACAAGCCCAACTACGGCGCCGGGTCATGAAGGCTTCATGGTACCCGGAGCCCAGTTCATGGGCCAGCAGTCTAGGAACGGAAGATGGGGTCATCATCTCCAAGACTAGGCAGGTTGACGACGGTCGGAGACGAGATGATTGAGTTAGAAGCACATGCAGGCTGGTCACGGTAGACGATGAGAAGCCGAGCAAGATTCTTTTTGTGTTAATACCACTTTTGTTTTGGAAGCGATACGATAGCATTTGGGGTAGCAAGGCAGGCAGGAAAGGAAAGTAAAGTCAGAAATAGGACTGAGGATAAAGGGATAAGGGATGTATATATATATCATTTCAGCGAGAACTGTTAATGAACGATTAACGTTTGGCGAGCTTGAGCGTTGAGTTGAGACTTGACTGTGAGACTTGACAATGAGATTAAAGCGATCGGCCTATGATCTACCGTAGGTATAAGAAAGTGGCCTGATCATGGTGGTTGGTGTAAGCGAATAAGCACAACTATATCCCGAAGAGCCGGGTTTTCAACTCAGCTGTGAGTTGTGAACAGTAGTACAACATCAACTCAGTCACCATGTGATACAAAGATGCAAAATACTCTCAACATTGGAGGAGATTAGCAAAGAGCAAGAGTCGCCAAGTCGCGCCTGGGGCTATAACACAATCGATTTGGGGCTGCCGCAACCAAACTCCCCCGTCTACCTCTTGTACTGGATTTCTTCCCTTCCGTCTCGGCTAACATGTACACGCGGGGCTTGCCCGGTTTGATCGGGTCTTGCCCGGAGCTCAAACACTCTGAGACCGAGTCATCGTCTACTTCTCCTCGGGGTACAGCTCCTCCTTCAGCGGCACGCCGAGCTCTTCCCGGAGAGGCTTGAGCTCCTCGAGGTACTGCTCGTACTGGCCCTTGTTCTCGACCTTGGACTTGATGCCTGTGGAAAGTCAGTAACTCGAAACTCGTCGTATGCTGCACTCGCGTCCGCCGTCTCGCTCGTCGTTCTCCGGGTCCAGCAGTTGACGTTGGTCAATTGATACGAATCAAGTGAGTTAAAAAAAGTGGACGGATCCGGTCGGTCGGGCGGACGGCGAGGCTAGCTTCCAATTGACCAAAAAGCATACCTTCGAAGATACGGACGGCAGTGCCAAAGTCGTTGACCCTTCGGGCGGCCTTGAGGGCGGCGGCAATCACCGAGGGAGCGGGGACGAGATCGTAGGCGAAGGCGTTGTTGAGGTTGCGCTATGGTTTGGTGATAAGCCAAAAAGTCATACGACATTTTCGGAAGCGGGACGGAGAGCGTCGAAGCTCAAAGCCCGTAGGGCGGGCCTACCTGAAGCTCGAAAACGTCCTGGACACCGTCAAACTCCTTCTCGAACCTGTAGAGCGTCGTGGTTTAGCCATTGAACCAAGCAGAGACAATGTGCGGCCGCATTGAAGGCATTCGGGAAAAATCGCGTGGGGAGAGCTTCCTGGCCCATTTTGCGGCATCTTTTTTGGCCCATGGGCGCGAACCACGCAAAAGCAGCCAGACTCAGAACCCCATTGCGAAGCCTCCAGAACTTTATGTCTCCTTCAATTGAGGCCATGAGGGTGTTCCTACCTGGCGGAGAACTCCTCAAAGGTCTCCTCGGCGTGCTCGCTTCGTCGGGGCATCGAGGTGGTGAAGTGGGCGACGGCCGAGCGGGCCACAAGGGGCTGGACGGCAGGGCGGACAGAGGCGGCGCGGACGCCGCGAGCGACACGGAGGAAGGCGGACATTATGGACGGGAGGAGTTGGTTTCCTAGGGAAGAGTGGCGATGGGTCGTCGAGAGGGCGATTTAGAGGTTTGAGAACAAGCTGGGGGGGGTCGGCTCGGGTGATGACTGCAGAGATGTTTGGGCGAGCAAAGGATGGGCTGAGGGCCTTGGGATGATGACTAAGGCCCGGCTATACCAGAATGAGGCAGCCGTGCGAATTGCGTTGTCTAGGGCTGGTTCTGGTGGGCGGCCGCACAGAAATGGACTGTGTCTGACGTCTCTACGCACTGTAGTTCCTGCGAGCTTATTTGACCACTTCTTCCATTGGTCATTCCCGTCAGGTCCCCGGCAATCAGGTCAGATGGCAGCCCATGGAGTGAAGGGAGTTGGTGATTGAGGAATTAGGTGCCCGAGGGTGGGATCTATACCCCGAGACTTCAGCATGACATAATTCGACAGTTTTAAGACGGCAGAACCTCTCGTGGCACGAATTGAAGAGTCCATGCACTCAATCGGCAAGGCTGTCTTTGGAACCAGGGACGTGGGTGAGAAAAATGTAGACGGTCCAATGGCCTGGTCGTAATTAATTTATTACGGCACCCAATTGACATGAACGTCGCGCCACAAGATGCACGGCCACAGGTGTCATGGCACGGCCACGGTTAAGGCCACGGTTGACGATGAGAAGTTGACGAGACGTTTCGCGATGGCGGCATGTTGAAGTTGGAAAGAGAATTTGTTGGGTTTTATAGCAGTTTTATGTTGTTCAGTAAACATCCACTAGCAAAACATGTGAAATCAGCTACCAATACGGACCTAATATCTGGCCACAACGAATTATTACACTTGTCAATATATATCAACTCTTGCTTCACCGCGTGATTGACACACGATGTTCGTGAACCCCTTCAATCGAATTTATAGGAGTTTTGTCTACTGAAACCCCGACGGCCTTTACAAGCCTCTAATGCTAGGTTTCGAGTCAGGTATGAAGCCTGTCTCTTGAAATTGAAATGATGTAAGATGCAGATGGAGACGACCAATCAGCCAGCGCAGACACGACGATAGGAGTACCAATACCCACGCCGAAATTGCCGGCTACTTTTTTTTTTCTGCTGCATCACCAACGGGGAGTTCCTCGGTCCAAACGACGGACAGCCCGGACAACAACGTTGCATGCTCTGGAAACCATTCTTCTTGGTGGAATAAAATAAAAAAGTCGGGATGAGATGTTAGATCAAAGTCCGGTTCAAACCACCAACAATGCCACCTCATCACCGCGGTCTTGGCATCCACGAGAACCTCGGGACACAGCGAATAAACGGCTCAGGCACAAGGGGAAAAAAAGGTAACGATGACCCCTGGCCTCCGCTCTTTTAGCACCGTCCCTGGGGCCATGTTTGGATTGGGCGACCACCCCGTTTCATTCCCTGAGAATCACGTGCCATAGTGTTCCTCCTCCCCGGAGATTGAACATAGATCCAGGCGGAGGACCCGCTATGATTGGCGGTCTCGGAGGACTCGGTAAATCACATGTGAAGGATGACCTCCTTTCCCATCATGCCTCCTGCCTCTTGTTGTGCTGGAAATTCACAGGAGGGCAGGCAACGCCAGTTGCAGAAGGAGCGCACGAGCCCAGGCGGGCAATTGCTGCGTGAGTAGTACTCCGTAGTCCATGCCCAGCTGGCTCGCGGTCCGGGGCGGGCCTGTCCTGTCTGGAGATTAGGCCAAGATGGCCCTACAAAGACGTACTAGCGGCGCAATTCGAAGCACCCACACCTGGGCATGGAAGGTGCGCGGTGCAGGTGCAGGGTGCCACTTTCACTCTGCTGGCTGCAGTGCACGTACGCCCAGAGTCTGAGCCTGAGAGAGACCTGGAGACCTGGAGCCAACTCGATCGGATGGAAATTTCCCCTTTTTTGATGCGCCGCGTCCTCCTCCTCAATCAAAACTTCTTCTCCTACTTCCCCTTCTTTTTCAACCCTTTGTTCTCCCTTTTTAATCCTCCTCATTCCCCAATCGCCGCCTGCCTGGCTATTTTTCCTTCCTCCCCCTTCTCTCTCCGGAGGTCCTTCTACTTCTTGTCATTCCTTCCCAAGTCTTTGCTCGAGCACCTTCACGTGTCCTCCGCCGTCGCCGGCTTCTGTCCTGTCGCGTCCTACCACAACGTCAGACAGAACTGCCTCGAGAATCAGCCACGTCGACACGTCACTTGGCGCCTTTGTTCTGTAATTAAAGAGCTTGTTGGTCACCCATTCGAGTCGGTTCAGCCTTCAGATCGCCCATCATGTCTTCGTCTCCCGCAACCTTTTACGAGCAGCTTCCTCTGCCTACCATCGACCGACCCTTCGGCATCCACCTATGGCCCATCTTCGACAAGGCATGGACTGCCGTCATGGGCTATTCGGTCAACGACTTCAAGTTCGTGCCCTATGAGACGCCCATGTCGACCCTCAAGTCCACCTCGATCTTCATCGTCATCTACTACGCCATCATCTTCGGTGGTCGCGAGTTCATGCGCAACCGTGAGCCCTACAAGCTCAAGGGTCTCTTCCTCATCCACAACTTCTACTTGACCGCCATCAGCGGTATCCTCCTGGCTCTCTTCATTGAGCAGCTTCTCCCCACTGTTGTTCGCGGCGGCATCTTCCATGCCATCTGTGATGCTGAGGGTGGCTGGACTCAGCCCCTGGTTGTCCTGTACTATGTGAGTACTTCTCGTTCGGATATGTTATGCGCTCGTACTGACTGCCACAGCTCAACTACCTCACCAAGTACCTCGAACTCCTCGACACCGTCTTCCTGTTCCTCAAGAAGAAGCCTCTGAGTACGTTCTTCTAATACCAAATCTCGAAACATTGGCTAACCCCTATTTAGCCTTCCTCCACTGCTATCACCATGGTGCTACCGCTTTCCTCTGCTACACTCAGCTCATGGGCTCTACCTCGGTCTCTTGGGTCGTCATCTGCCTGAACCTCACCGTTCACGTCGTCATGTACTGGTACTACTTCCAGAGTGCCCGTGGTATCCGCTGCTGGTGGAAGGAGTGGGTTACCCGCCTCCAGATCATCCAGTTCGTCATTGATCTCGGTAAGTCCAATTGCATATCCCTGCAACATGAAACATGGCTAACAAAATTCAGGCTTCGTCTACTTCGCCTCGTACACCTACTTCACCTCGACCTACTGGCCCTGGGTGCCCAACGCTGGCAAGTGCGCTGGTGAGGAGTTCGCTGCCTTTGCTGGTATCATCACCCTCAGCTCCTACCTGGTCCTCTTCATCTCCTTCTACTTCGCCACGTACAAGAAGCAGGGCAAGGCGCCTAGCGGTCGCCAGAGCCTTCGACGCATGTCCCAGGCTCCCCTTCCCGACCCTCACCTGGTCCAGACCACCCCCGTCAAGGGCAAGTCGAACGGTGCCACCACTACCGGCTCCAGGACCAACGGTGCCACCACCCGATCTCGCAAGGCTTAAACGGTGTCGGACGACACTGTCAAGCCTGGCGCGCCGTCGTAGCAGGAGGACTTCCCAGGTCTCTAATCCCTGTTGGTTCTTGAGGGTATAGCTGCGGCGTGCGGTACGAAAAACCAGAGGCAATCTGCATTGGAGTTGGATCCGGATCGATCTCGGCGACACCGACATATATAAAACAGTTGTTTGGAGATTTCGTTTTTACCGAATTGGGCATCTCGGCTCCATTGACTTGAGGGCTGGGATCCGCCACGAGTAATATTGTCTTTATGGGCAGTCATAATGATGGAGGGTGTTGATGAGGCTTCTCATGGATTTTGTGTTTACCGGGCGAACATGGGGCATATTTGGCAGGGCGGGCATGGTTATTGGGACGACAGTCTCGGCCGACGTTGCGACCAGCAGCAGTCGGCCCCAGGCTACGACGATCTACCTAGAACCCTTGTAATCACTCTTCGCGGGTCATGTATGATAGATATTTTGGATGGTCCCTTTGGGACTGCCAACAGGGGGTGTGATAGATGATGCTAATTGATGTATAAGTCCAAGATTGAGTCATGACATGCCTGTGAAGTGATGTGCAGGGGTTCAGAGTCGTAGCGGCGAATGGTAGACTTGATGATTCTATTGCCAACTATTTGAAACGCGATGACTGGGTTGCTTGACGAACACTGCAGTGTACCAATCGTTCCAGAGTCTTACGGATCGGGTTGTTCTATATGACCGAACAAGCATGCGGTTGGTCACGACCCTGGGATTAACCATAATCTTAACGGTGGTCAGGATTCTACAGTTGACTACCTAGAACTTGAGGCTGCTTGTGATTCCAAGGTTGGGACTGGGAGGTGCTTTAATGTTGCTGAAACTGGACTCGGCCAGACCCCGAGGCTGACCTTGGGTCTGGGGAAGTTATTCCTTACTACTTGAACTGATGCACGTCTACAGCAGTTTTTGGGAGGTTTTGTAAGTATGTTCATAATGCTCGAACTTGTTAGTCAAGACTGAGTGTCAAGACGTGCCGAGCAACAACAGCTCATCAAGATGTTATCTAGAAATCGGGGCATTAAATCAACGCTACGATTTATTTCTAGACTTGCGAAATTCTAACCTGCTAAGAATGTAGAAGTCGGGGAGGAAAGGCAGTTTTACCTGGGCGTCTCCTCGACCAACGTCTATCACTAAATAGGTGATTGACAATAGGGGGGTGGGGGCCAGGGAGCAAGGCTAGAGAAGGAGAATATCCCCATTCCCCTTAGTCCAGTGATTTCCACAAGGGCCTATACAAGGAGACCGTCCTCGTCGATCAAAGTATGGTAGCCAAAGGCTTAGAGAATTGAAGGAGCCGAACATCTTGGGTAAGCCGTATGAACTCCAGCTATCTCAAGCCATGATTGAAAACACGACGCTTAATCTCCAGCGTGATCCTACTTTAAACAGATTCTCAGAACTACGCAAGGACATGGTTGGAGACTAGGTAGGCTACCAATACATGGTAACCTTACACTTGATGGACAACATGGTGCATGTGTTGAACACAACAATTAATTATAGAACATTCATTATCAACGGAGTAACCAAGAAGCAGTCCCAGCTATGTCAATGCCCAGCCTGGCATGAACGGTGTTGGTGATGTGATGACAGCCGGGTAGATGGTAGAACTGGCATTGCGAACTCGCCAACATCACTGTTGGAGCTGAAGCTTGCATATTCGAGAAGCATTTTCCCTTAAGGGCTGACATGATGCTTCTATTCAATATATGATGTTCGTCCAAGTCACCTCTGTTGGGATGATGTCAATGGTAAGAGTCCAGTCAGACTAACCCTTATGCAGAGGTACTCTTCTTTATTGAAGACCGATATTTCACTGGTTCTTGTGTGATAAAATTCTCCTGGGCTATGTCTCAAGCATAATTCTCTTGATTGCTATGGCCAAGACCAGATTACTACCTGACGGGTTATCGTGAACAATACTCTTCACCCCAGACAAGATACCTGCTTGCATGAGAACAAAAGACACTACTTAGGTAGAGGACAATTGTGTATATGAACCATGTCTATATCCATCTGATTCTTTCAAGGAAAAAACGAAACATGATTGCCTCGATCAACATTGGCCATTTAACGCTTACCACCCCGAGTCCACGCACTCTTGTTTGCGGTGCACTACCTTCACCATGGGCTTTTTGATATGGCCACATGTACCCAATTGTCGGACAGATGGCAAACTGGTCTAGATCGGAATTGTACAGTTGGCCAATATCCCTTTTCACTTTGGCATCACAGGGCTTGGCATGTGTTAGCGAGGGAGGGAGGTCTAAGACTTTAACCCATAGATGTCTCTCCTCAACTCTCATTCAGTCTTTCTCTGCATCGTGCCAAGCTGTGAAAGCCATCTTGAACTTTGCAACACTGCACGATGCCTTAATTCCAAATCCAAAAGTCTATAGAGATGAATTGACGTCATGTCTGGGGTTGATAGGGTCGGCTATACAGGGACAGGGTGAAGGAGAGACGAGAGGAGGAGAGGACAGGCATCCCTATTCCAATGAGTGTTAGTCTGTCCAATTTGCTGGCTGCCAATACCCGTTGGGGCTGGTTCAAGACATGGATCCGCATCCCTCAAGCTGCTATAAAGGGAAGTGTCGGTCGCATATCCGGGGGACTTTGTAGGCTCGGGACGTGTTGAATATGCATTCGCTCCTCTGGCCAAATGTCAGCCATTCGAGCTGGCAGTCCTCGTCTTGGCGTGCGGTCACTGCAGGGCCGTTGCTTGCCAAGGGTTACGCGAGGAAAAGCTCCGGGAGGGGCCATTCGCGCTCGCGCTTACATCGATGGAGCAGTGGCACCTGTTGGTCTCTAACTGAGATGGATGGACGCAGGCTTGTAGTCGTGTGTATTACCCATCTCGGCCCCTTTTCAATTTCAACGCCCAAGGGATACACGAGCAGCCCCTTATGGATAAGCACTACCGGCTCTCCGTGATACAGACAGACAGACAGACAAAGACTCTTCCCCCCTTGACACCTACTTCTCCCCCATTCTCTCCCCCTGCCTTCAACTCCGTCTGCTGTTGATCAGAGCGCGCGCGCTTGGGCTCCAAAAGCAAGGGCAGACGCCACTCAGCCTGGATTTTGCGGGGCAGCGAATCGACAGGCGCTGTTTGGCAACGATTCACTGGCTCAGCAGCTCCCGCCGACGTTTGGATCCAACGCGTTTATTGCATGATTGACCTCCTGAGCTGCCATCTACCTGTCAGTAATTCCCCTTACTGCAGCTGTAGGTTCCTTCCTGTTTGATAAGAGGAAACTGGACAGGTACATCACCACGTGCCCTCCCGCGTTCCAAGAGGAAGGTACCCTGCTGGTACCCCTGCAATTATTTCCAAGTCCCTCCATCATTCAGTCCCTCCACCGTCCGTGTCGCGCCCAACTCCCCTCCTCTCCACGACTTCTCCCTCTCCCTCGGCTTCAACCTGGACCTGAATCCTCCTCCTTCTCGTCCTCTTTTCCTCATTCTTTGCCTTTCATAGTCCAATTCTGTTGCCTCAAACTTCCTTCCGTCCTACCGTTGTGTCCTCCAGCGTCCAGTTAGTCGCTCACAGACACCCTCTCTCGACGCTGCAACCCATCGAATTCACCTGCCAAGATGCGGAACCCTTTTCGGCGCCGAAACAAGAAGGATAAACTCGCCAACGGCCGCCAAGGATCCGACGCCGGTGTCGTCCCCGACGAGTTCCGGCCTCCGGGCGCCGGCCGACCGCCTCTGTTCCCTCCGACTCGCGGCTCTGCCTACCTCCTCGCTCACCTCCCGCCCAACGTCCTCCAGCGCATATTCGCCTTTGTCTGCCCGCACGCCCGAGATGAGAGCTATGAGACTTGTGAGGGTAGTGCGAGCGCAAGCGATAGCACATGTATGCTCTGTGACTTGCGCGACCTAGCGCATTGCGCCCAGGTCTGCCGTGTCTGGCGTCAGAACGCCGTCAAGGTCTTGTAAGTCTCGCGACAGCTGTCTTGAACGCGCCGTAACTAACAGCTTTCTCTCTAGATATCACAGCGTCCGCATTGATGCCGTTCACTACTGTCCCCTCGAGGCATGGCTGGCCGAGAGACGTAAAAAGACACACCGATTCGATCGCAATGGCATCCCAGAGGATCCTGCTCAGGCCCGTCTGCGCCTCCTCCGCCGTACCGTTCGCGACGACCCGACACGCATTGGCAAGCTGGTAGAGTACCTCAAGATGCCCTACATGCTACGCGAGTCCTCCCAGGTCGAGCTTGCCCAGACCATAGCTGTACTTCCGAACCTCAAATATGTCGACCTGCCCGAGGGCATGTTCTGCGACGACCCGAGCTTTGCTACCCTACGTCTTGAAGTCCAAGCCCGATGTCCCAACCTCCGGAAGATGACATACGTGGGCGGTTCTGAGCGGAGCTTTACCATGCTCGCCACAGGGCAGGTCTGGCCTCGAATTGAGGTGCTTGAGCTTAATAATCTCAACATCGATCCCATGACCATCCGGGCTGTGCTTGGGAGCCTTACCCATTTGCAAGCTCTGAAGGTGTCTGAAACCCCAGGCCTCACAGACGAGGTCCTATCATCATCAGACGGAATGCCTACCCTACCACCAATGAAGGAGCTGGTACTCAAGGACACGCCTGGTGTGACCTTGAGGGGGCTCATTGAGTATCTGGCGTGGCAGGAGACGCAGCAGGCTCTAACGGTCTTGACCCTCAAGGATACCGGCGTTCACCCTGCGACTCTGCAGGAGATTCTCACAATGGCCTCGTCTCTCAAGACACTTGCTATTCAGACAAGCGTTGTCGAACAGTTTCCTAACTCTTCCAAAATCCGTCCTCTTGCATCAAGGACATTGGAGACACTACGATTTGAAATATCCCCTGCTTCATCCGGTCCCTTTGCAAGCGTAACGCAAGGTTATTATACCTATCTTGCCTCGTCTATCCTAGGAGGAGGCTTTCCCAGGCTTCGGAGACTATATGTCCATGACGATACCTTCCCTGACCAACTCCAGGGACTTCCACCTCCCAACGCCGCCTTTGCTGGAGGCCATGTCCGCTCTAGCTCTAACTCGTCAAGCAAGTCGACTCCTGCTTTCAATCTCTCGCCAGCTGGTGGAAATCTCCCCCCATTTGCGCCTAAGCGGCCGGTTTCCAACATACCTCCCTCCAACAAACGCTTTAGTTCCAACAACCCCTTTGCTCGTGGCCCTTCTTCTCCTCCTCCCACACATCATCTGGAAGTATTTACCAAAAGTGACGAGTTTGGTAAGTGGAACTTTGCTCGGATTGACCCTATTCGGTCTGCCGCAGCCCCCTCTCGTCGACCGATCAGTAGCTATGGGCTGGCGGCCGACGTTACGGGGTTGGGGTGGGATCAAGGCGATGCCCGGCGAAGTATCATGGTTGGCAACGGAACCGGTGGCTTCCTAGCTGTGCCAGGCCAAGGGGGCGATCGTGAAAGTACGGGCAGTGCGCTATCTGGAGATTGGCGGCCTCAGAGCAGTGGAGGGGAGCCTCGAGGCAGTCGAGATCTGTGGAGATAATGATATACGCGGTATTGCCCATCTTTTGGGGTTCATCTCGGTGTATCATCTCGAGGGCCCCTTTCACGAACTTTATGGTATGAGCCTTTGCTTTCATTCTCTCCCGACTTCCTGGTCCCCTGGCTAGGAAATCTCAGCAGAGCCGGCGGGAGACAGCTTCGATGGTACACATTGAGGGCATGGGGAAGAGATAAGAGGCAGCTTGAGGCTGATATGTTTCATGTGTTTGTTTGTGACGGTTGCATTTTTTTGGAATCAAAATACCCTAGCAGTTACATGGAGAATTGCATTTGTGTTGATAGTAGTTAGCGAGCGGGCGAGTTTGTGGGCAGACCTAGATTGATACTAGGAGACTATTACTTAGACCTAGAATAATCTGTATTCTTTGTAGATTTCGTGTTTCTTCTTGTTGGTGAAGGTTGGTGTGGACATGGTAGGGGTCGTTCTGTATCATGACGACACTTGGAGGTGAGTAACGCATACTCCTTTCAGTCTCTTCCATTCATCTTGAAACGCAATTGTACTAGGCTGATGCAATTCCCATTGCCACGACCTTGCTTTGGTATCTTTGATGCGTTGTTTCATCTTGTACATGCGCATCCTCGAAATACTGTGTCAAGTCCCTCGCTTATCACCAATTGCATCACATCCACGTTTGCAAAATCCAAGATTTTGCCCTCTGTGCAACCTATAACGAACCCGTCGATCGCCCTCCTGTTCATCAAGTTCTGAACTGCTTGCGGCCCGATGACGTTGTTGTGCATCTCAAGCAGGAGGGGACACCCTTGTCGGTGAGCGAACTTTACTTACCCTACATCAGCGGCTCCAAGGTTCTCGACGATTGTGTCACACCATGGGGATACAGATTACAGAATGGACAGTCTGATTATTGAAATTACATGGGACGGTTCTTGAATGTAGGTTCAACGACTTCGGTTTGGACCGACATTTCTTTTCTTTTTTGTTGGGTTGCAGGACCCACGGGTTGCGCGGGCTGATGAAGCTGCAGAACATGGTGGATTTTTTAGAAGCAAGGGAGAAAAGGAAAGAAAAATTCCGTCAAGGTCATGTGTGTTGTAATATGGTCTGATACTGAAATCCCGAATGCGAAGGGGTTTTCGGAAATGCAAGTAGGGCTCTAGAGAAGCAAGGTACCGTCGGTACTGGACAGGAGCCGTGGAGAGAGACTCGACTGATTTGAGTTGAGTTGTTTGTTTCAGGAATCACCTGACGTGTTGATTCAATGCCTTGAGCTATGCCACTTATTTGAATCTTTATACAGAGGTCTATCTGTAACATAACTGTCTAGGAAGTGGCTTATATTGGGAACAACACGTAGAACATGTTCAGGAATAGCAACCAAGCTAGTAAGCACCTTGGACGACCCAAGGTTCAAGCATGTCGCCCTCATAATAACAGAATCCCAAGAAGAATAACAGAAGCATCCTCAAGCAAGTCATCCGAGAACCAACCCAGGATCTTCCCCTCTCCCCAACCACACTGCCAACACATACTCTACGCACGCACGCACAAGCCTCCCCCCCTCCCCTTGAGCATGAACGAATAACAGCACATCAGTTGACCGTCAATCAGAGGGACCACCCCAGCTTTTTGGGGTGCGGCTCAGCTTTGTGGCGACCGGTGACTAACGCTCGTCTTCTCGTGTTGCGTGCTTGCATATTGCACCGGGCCTTTTTTTTTTTTCTTGCCAGCCAGCACACATTCTCTTGCGGGGTTGGGGGACGAGAATAGTAACAGTGGCGGCGACTCCGCAATACGGACGATAATACATGTAAACTGAGGAGAAGAAGAAGAAGAAAAATCTGCACGGATTCTTTTCCACGAAGGATTCTTTTGCTTTGGAATATTTTGGGTTATTTTCAGCTCGTGAGGTTGTGGCTGCATCATCACCCATTGGTTCCCTCTGCCGAGCTGTCATCCTCGCAGCTGAGAGAGAGACAAGCAACCATCTCGTAAGCCCGACGTAGGCGCAGCCGCGATAGTGGATGTATATCTTTGCTCTCCGACCGTAACTACAGTACACCCGCTATCAAGTTGGATCCCACCTCCGCAGTCCACCGGAAAGCTTGCGCCCCTCCGTGCTCCCGCGGGAGGCAGTGTTCCCGAATACCTGTTTCGTTTCATCCTCTGACCACAGCTCCATCGAGTACACTGTGCATTGACAACTTTGTCGCGTAGGATCGCGGGGTAGAAAAGAATGTAAAAAAATGTCATCTATGTGAGGGATGTTATCGACATGGGGACGCATTAACAAGGCGAGACTCGTCTTGAAACAACCGGGGAATGGGGACGAAGCAAGGGACGAGACAGTAGAGTCACGCTATAGCTGGCCACGCGCGACGCGGACAATTGTTTTAAGCCAGGGAGGAGAGGATAGCATTGAAATCGTCGTTGAACTAGCCGTTCATCGCGACCTCCCTTGAGTCAAGAGACGGGAGGCTGGAACTTGCAAGGGAATAGTTGTGTCAATAACTCTCCTTGGGCGCATCAAGTTTCACATCCCGTCGATCATCCAGGGAGTCAAAGTGTCAACTGTCTCTTTTCCCCGCTTGGTAGTAAATCGCACCGAGAAACCGGACACTGGTTCCCTTTGCAAGGGCGAAACCGTCTTCGTAGCGAGGCACTATCTTCGAGACAATGTCTAAGTTGGAAACATTGGTTCCCCATTTCTTAGTTATCTTATGCTCAGCCTCTCCGTGGTCACAAGGAGTGTAGTGTCGTATTTTCAGCCCCCTAGAGTAAACAAGTACTCACAGTATTTCTCAACACTTTGTAGAGTTCACGGGCTAGAACTTTTCAGCTAGAATACCTCGGGTTTGAGTTTCTTGATAATGGAGACTCGGGAAACCCAAGAGGGGCGGGTTCTCGTGTGTGGCTGCTTAGAACAGACCCAAATTTGGGTGCTACGACAGCCATTTTTAGACAGCCGAGCCAGATGGCGCTATACCTATCGGGGGATTTTTGAGAGGCACGCGCATGCATGGGTAGAGGTGGCTGGTGAAGATGGACTCTTTTTGTCTCTACAAGAGTCCCACTGTGACGTTGCCGTTGTAGATGTGGCTGGTGTACAGTCAAAGTGGCTTGCGCTGTGGACATTCCCGTACCTCGAGAGTGGAGACCTGGGGAAGGGAACGAAAGCTCCCGTGGGCTCTTTCTTTTTTTTTCTTTTCGTCCTTTTTACTTCCCGCTGCAAGGCCCCAAAGAATGACGCCATGTGGTTGGAGCACCAACCCGCCAATCCATTCCCGAACGTGGAAAATCGTTCAATATCTGGAGCATATTAATTAATAGATTCGACGGCATATGTCAAATAAACTATTCGATATTAGACCATTTCTTATCGAATTGACTCTAGATACATTTCATACCGTCAACTTTCTATGTTCTCGACTTGCCTGGTCTAAACTCTGTCATCCAGACATTCCATCGCGAGGCGCCGTCCATTTGCTGACAGCCCTCTCACCAAAAGGGCCGCCTCGTCGGTCTTGCCCGCAACAATGGCCGCTTACAGGCTTAACCGCCCGCCTCAGCACCATCTTCAATAGAGTTGATGGGCAATTCCCGAGCAGCCGGACGGGACGTTCCAGAGCCGCTCTGATGGTGATGGGTGTCGCCGGTCGCAGTATAGGGCCGGCTGTCAGAAGTGGAGTGTGAATGCCATCTCATCTCGGACGGAGATGCATCATGTTCGGGCTTGGCCAGCTTCAATTCCCGTCAATGTAGCCCCCGAGTATCTCTCACTGTGTCCCATGTCATCAATGTGTCCTCAGCGGAAGGGAACTTCGCTTGGCCCTACGGGACGGACGACATGGTAAAACACGAACCGCTGTCAGGTGCTGCACATTCGAGACTGGAACAAGATTCTCCGTGTCCATCACCATCAAGTATCCAGTATCAGACGAACCTGCGACGGCATGATCTACGTCTCATCATTGGCGCCCCTGGCAGAGAACCCTAGCTTTTTGGAGGGGAGGCCCTGTCGACATGCCTGACCAACCTGAGACCTAAATGGCAAGGGGTTTGGATGGAGGTGGGAGGGGTTCGAGGCCTTGAGGGTTCGAGGCGCAAAGGGTGAAGCGCTCAAGGGCGACGACGGTCCGCCGCCTCTTGTAAACTCCCATGCTGACTCTGATCCATGTCACAGAGCAAGGCTTTATGGGAAAGCATCAAAGAAGTCATGGGAGGACGACGCACACTGTAGACTCAGCTTGCGCTCCCTCCGAGGGAAATATGACCGAGAAGAGCAAGGCGGGCGCCCCGTCATCCTCCAATGTGAATGGCACGCGCGATGAGGGGATTTTTTACTCTTGACCCCTCTAGAAGAGACTGCCGGAGGACAAGACGGTAGTCATGGACCTGTGAACCACACAAATGTCGGTCTGGCGATAGAAAGACTTTTGAGGCGATGGACGGGTGTCTGGCGCGCGCAGGGAGTTGGTTGCGCTGCGAGACATGATTGGCCAGGACCCGTCGCATCTGGTACGATGGCATCCATGCCTGACCAACGGCGGATCACCGATTCTGGTGGAACCAGTTGGAGGGGGGAGGAAGAGTTGATCAGGCTGCTTGGAGAGACGGCAGACAGCGCGCTTCAAGAAGAGGGCCTGTTCGCCCAATCTCGATTGTGCGTTGTCAAGTTCCTGCATCACACCCACGACTCCCCCGACCAATGCGAGGCACGAGATGGAGAATGAAGAAGAGACCAAACAGTGTGAGAGGTTCTAATGCAGCAGAGGGTATACACACGAAGGGGCCTCACATCTCTGAGCTGTGCCGAGCCCGGTCCAAGTCCAGTTCAGGGCCGATATTCCTCAAGAAGCTGTGCCGTTGCAGTTGCAGACCGTGCCTGCGTCTGCCCACGTAGGTACCTACAGAAAAGAGATGGTGATGTACTGTTGCATCGCATCGTGCCCTGACTGAGCACGCGAGGATTTACACGCCAGTACCCTTTAGACGACTCCGCTTGCTGAGCTGGCCGA